TAGCTCGTTCTTTTAGTTGTTGAACTATTCCTTTTATCGAGTACATGCTCTCATTCATTGTCTCAGAAAAAATGACCGCACAAGAAGACAATTTATGCCGACGATTCTTTAGTAGTTTTCCATGACCAACAGTTATATATCTAAAGAAACGTTAACGGTCGATAGCTTGTTAGCTCGTTCTGCTATTTGTTGAACTATTCCTCTTATCGAGTACATGCTCTCATTCATTGTCTCAGAAAAACTGACCGCACAAGAAGACAATTTATCCCCAAGTGGACGATTCTTTTTAGTACTTTTCCATGATTAACAGTTATATGTCTAAAGAAACGTTAACAGTGGATAGCTTGTTAGCTCGTTCTGTTATTTGTTGAACTATTCCTGTTATCGAGTACATGCTCTCATTCATTGTCTCGGAAAAAAATGACCTCACAAGAAGACAATTTATGCCGACCAAGTGGACGATTCTTTTCTAGTTTGCCATGACTAACAGTTATATGTCTAAAGATATGTGATTTTATGGAACTTTAAGAGTAAATAGTCAAAGGTGTGGGGTTGCAAGTTGTTTTCGGTGTTCTTTGACAGGTTCCATGTTTAAGAAAAGTTATGACTATGACTGTACTGTCCACCCATCTTTTAAAAAGGGCATCGGTAGAGGGACCCTAAAGCCCCTGTTACACAGAGCCTAATATGGCCTCTCAAACATTGACTTTGAAGATCTAACCCTTGAACATCTAACTCTAGAGTTTGTTTAAAGCTATCTAATGACAATGCCCCTACTGTACTTGGTGACAGCGAGTTCCACTCTGCGATAGTTCTAGGAAAGAATGAATTCTCGAATGCTCAATCCTTGGTTGATAACTCTGGTACTTGAAGGCATGGCTATTTCTTGTTCAGTCAGTCACTGAGTCAGTCACTGTACATCACAAAATTCCAAACGAGAACACCAAAATTGTTTCTGTTTGCTGGCTAGCGATGTATTATTAAAGATGTCAAGAAACCAAGAGACCGGGAAAACGTTTTCCTGTCCCTTTGTCTTGTTACCGTTGATAAATAGCGTTCGGTTGAAAACCTAGGTGGCCTGGGCACGACTTGGCGTCGCCAACAAGTAATACGCTCTTTTGGTATACATGACGTTTCCGGTCTCATTCTGACAGAAGGAAGAATTTTTGAACGTTACAAGGCGAGCGGTTTGGCAGGACCGTTCATTTGTCTGAAACTGAAACGCTGTGTTTTCCTTTTGAAACCATACGCTGTCATGGGAAGCGTTTTCAGCGATTTTGTAGTTGAGAATTCCAGGCTTGTGGCTTATGTAAGACTACTTGGCGTTTAAGACTGGTAGCTCGCCATTGGGATTTGGTCCCTACAGAAGAAAACTATACATTGTGTTAAGGCGCGCGTGGCGCTTACAAGAAAGTCAAGAGATGAAAATAACCTCGAACTCAGGCCCCTTTCACACATTCACGAATTTAGCCTCCAGAACACAATCATGCACATGCACACTAGCCGAATGCCCCCAACCATGGTTAGGATTAAGATGAACCAAACCTACATGTATTACACAGCATACTGAGGCAAAAATCTGTGAGACAAAAATGCAGCAGTGTCAATGAAGAAAGACAGTTGCTTGTTTCATATCGTAGGCTGGTTCTCCCAATCTATTGGTGGTACCAAAAAAAATAAAGAAGCTCCTCACGTAGCTTGTTTTGGGGATATTTCAAACGCTTCACGTATGAAATGCTGACAAAAATGTGCTAAGAAATAGGCAGTAGATTTCGATATCAGACAGATTTTCTCATCCAGAATATTTTTGTTTTACCGCACTGAAATTGCATGGGATGCCTTTAATGAAAGTTTATTGCAAATACTTGCCCGAGGGCTAATTGCAGTTACAAACAACATAAGAAAGAAATTACAGTGGTATGTGAGACTATATCTACGTCTAGCATTATACTATATTCTACAACATACATGGTACTAGTTTTACTGGGTTTGACTTCTTCTTTTTAGGCAATGGAAGACGAATTTACCCACTTCTTCTATAATATGTGGGTTCTTTGATTTTAGTAGTAAAATTGTTTTTAAAAGGGTTTAATACTACCCCTTTGTTGTAATACAAAGATAACATCTTGTTAAACGGATATAGTAGATTTTTCCCAGGCTTTTGAGGTATTTTGGCTGGTTTTGCCTCTATAAGAACCGGATTTCGCCCCGGCGTAGTTGAAATGCCTGACATGTAATTAGGTGTAGCAGGATCTTTCTTACGGATGTTGGGCTTTAGTTGTAAGAAAAATCCCTGGCCTTTCCTTACCATTACTGCCCTTACGCGTCAAGGAACGAACATACACACTCACACCTAAGGCCATGTTGATTTGATTATATGGATGACATCCTCTGGGAACTCCAAAACTGATGCGAGCGTGCGAATAAAAAAGTTGGCCACAAAAAAAGTTGCTTTCATTATTATGAAATCTATGTGGTTTTCAAAGTTGAACGAATGACACAGAATATGGTTTGGCGAATAATCTACTCTTCAAATTTATTTCTTCACATTTTCGTCGTTTGATTTTGGTATTCTACGACATTGGTATCGTTTTCCAATGTTTTTTTTTCAACTTACGGTATATATTTGCTCATTTTGCAACTGTTTTGTACGATTTACAGTATGGTTGAAAACTTTTTTTTGTGGAAACGGCCGAATTAATATTCATGCGCGCGTGGATGTCATCCATATAATCAAATCAACATGGCCTATGTACAAAACGGTTTGACAGCTGTCGAAGCAGTGCCCTCTAGCGACCCCTGCAGTATCGTGCACTTCCTTTTTTTTCTCGGCCGGTGGACAGCTAAGACATTTTCAATCTGTCGCGGTTCGTTTACACGATAATGCAAAACTTTCTCTTTATACCGCAATAAAAGAAATTTATGGACAAAAACAATACCTCTCAAGTATACACAATCTAGATATCCGAAAAGCGATCACAAAATTAAGAATTAGTTGTCATAAATGAAACATAGAAATGGGTCTACACAAGAAAATACCAAATGACTAAAGGTTCTGTCCATTGTGTCCAAACATGATTGAAAATGAGCACCATTTTCAATTACCAAATTGTATATGTAATGGATTGTACACTATACAATAATAAGCGCCTATTGCTGTTCACTTTTCTTTCCGCCTGTTTAATTGATTTCAATATGTTAGATCCTATAGATAAATTCAACTACATTCTCAGGGGAGATAACCAATACAGTGTTCAAATAGGAAAATACATTAAAGAATGTTTCGATCTTAGAGACCACATGTTAGAGAATAGTTAACCTTTATTGTTACCGCATACATATATTCTACTGTACGTACTGTAGGATGACGTCATGTATTTCTTTGAGAAAAGTTTGAAAGTATATATCTTTTAACCGTTGGCCAATAGAGTTGACAATTGGAGACGTGTTTCAGAATTCGTAAATGCCATAAGTGTTTACGAAGTAACACCATAGTTTCACGGAACTGTTGCACGCGGAGCCCAGCTGAGAATACTTGAGGCGGAGAACATTTGGAAGTGAGCAGCAGGTCTAGAGTTCTCCGTGATCCGAACAAGAAACGGTCGGCTTCCGATCGGTGTCACGCCCCTGCATTAGTCCACGGGGCTTCGGCATACGGGGAGGAATTCACGTAATCTCCAAGCAGATCCTAGGACTAGCCTCTACCAGGCTTCGGACACAGACACAAACTATAGCCTCTACCTAGCCTGTACCAGGCTTCGGGAGGCGGCTGGAAAGAGTAGAAATCTGCCAAATAAAGAGACAGCATGCCAAGGGAGTTTGGTCGACTGGAGAGAACAGTTTGCTGCTCCCAAAACCTGTGCGTGGACGCTACGATCAAACGGTAGATAGATAGATGGATGGATGGATGGATGGATGGATGGATGGATGGATGGATGGATGGATAGATAGATAGATAGATAGATAGATAGATAGATAGATAGATAGATAGATAGATAGATAGATAGATAGATAGATAGATAGATAGATAGATAGATAGATAGATAGATAGATAGAAGATAGATAGATAGATAGATAGATAGATAGAAATTAGTGAACAAAGAAATGGCGACTCCGCACAGGTTTCGGGAGCGGCAAACTGTTCTCTCTAGCAGACTAAACTATGCTGTCTCTGTATTTGGCCGATTTCTACTCTTTCCAGCCGCCTCCCGAAGCCTGGTAGAGGCTAGCAAAAAGGCAGTATCAAATTGGGCAGGTAGTAGCCATTGGCCAGAGTGGGTCCAATACGCCACCCAAGGATAGCGACAAAAAACGGGCCTTATATACAAAAAGGTAACGATCTTCCCCCATCAACCTCTGCTTGGAGAGTAGAATTCACAGGCATTCAACAACGCAATTGAAAATATTCTGGATGAGGAAATCTGTCTGATATTGACATTTATTTCCATTTCTTAGCACATTTTCGTCAGCATTTCATACTTGAAGCGTTTGAAATAGCCTCCAAAACGAGCTAGCAAGTAAGTGTCTTTATTTTTTGGTACCACCAATAAATAAGGTGTATGTAGAACAAGCCTACGATATGAAACAAGCAACAGTTTTCCGTCAGCGACATCGCATTTTTGCCTCACAGATTTCCGTATGCTATGGGACTGGGGTGTTGATTCAATCAAGGATATAATACTGTATAATGTCCTTGATTCAACTTACTACATGTTTAAAATGATTGACCTTGAAAATTTAGTTTTGACGCCTTAAAATTGCATTTCAAATTTCAACGCTTGCTGAATTCACAAAAGAAAAACTAGAAGAAGAAGAAAAAAAAATTCGGCGAGCGAAGGCATCTGTCAGCGTCACGTGGTCATGGAAGATGTGTTTCAAAATCTACGTGTCGTTGCACGTCGTCATGACGACCGCGGCCCGCTAACCAATGGGAGCGGCGGGTTGTCGGCAGGCCTGGTGACCGCTGTGCTATCGCAGTACAGCCGCTGGCAGCTGAAAACAAACATTACTCACAAGCCGCTCTCCAACCATGCGGTGTCTATCCTCGTCCTTGGCAGCCTTGAGGGCGGGAAGAAACCTGCTTATGTATACTTAAGACGTGGTTTGGTGAGGGACCGAATTACTTCTGATCCGCCGGTGCTTCAAGAAGGGTACACGGTACAAGGAGAGCCCGTCTACCGCTCGGCGCTACCAGAAACTTCTGGTTTGTTTCACGGAACTCTGCCCTGGTGTCGAGGGCGTATCAGGGGGGTGACAGCTCTTGTAGAACGCCGTACGGGGGCAGTAACGTAGCGAGGCAGGATCTTCGCCGGACTGTCGGGACTGCTACAGCCGGGGAAACTGTCAGGCTCGCCCCGCCAAACGCTTCCGATGCGACTGACCGGAACCCACTACTAGGACAAGAACACTATCCCGTTTACACAAGGAGTCGGACGTTCTACCTGATGCGCTAACCTTAACAACAAGGATCAAGATTCTTAAGGTTTCTTCGACAACACGGGTCGCAAGTTCAGTCTTAAAACACATTTCACCAGTGGTTGGCCTTGAACTATAAGATGGCATCAAGTACTACTGCGAACAGTTGGAGTTCGTCGTTTTCGTGGACGATATTTTCCGTGTGTCTGTGTCTGTGGTCAACCCAGGCCCAGTTTCTTCGGCCAGGCGGGTGAGTGTCTAAACACTTGTGTACAAACAGTTGTTGTTTGTTGTTGTCCTTCCTTATCTCGCTCTAGACGTGGTCTCTAAACATTCTTATCACAACAAAGCATGTAAGTGAGAGTGCAAGGTGTATATCATAACTTTGGCAAGACGAATGTAAACCGGCAGGGCTCGAAATACTGGGTGCACCTTAGTGCACCGAAAATTGAAGCTGTGCACCCAATTTTTTTCTGTGGGTGCACAAGTGCACCCAAACATTTTTGTAGGTTTACGTATGTAAAAATGTTAATGTTAACTACTACACAGCATATTCTTGTGTCAGAAAAACAAGAAAATCTTTGTTGTAGTATTTTAGAAACAAAAAACATGATTAGTTTTTTTTCTGACATTTTATTTATTCTAATTCATATGGTGCACCCCCAAAAAAATTTTGTTCACCCAATTTTTTAGGTTGGGTGCACCACCAGTGCACCTATTCCCAAGAATGAATTTCGAGCCCTGAAACCGTAAGGGTCCTATTGTTTGGGCGGTGTATTCAGACCATGTTTTCTGTGGATCATTTGCTTCTTTAACTGCGGGTTAACTGTTGTGAAAACACGCCGGAATATTTCCTCACAATGATAGCCTATTCAGCGGGCACCGCACCGGAAAACTTGTGAAGCTCAGCCACACATTCAGGCATTTTCTTTTTTCTTCTCACCGTTTGGAAACATCGCCTGTAATAACACGTGCTTATTAAAATATAGATCTAGTTCTATAGTCTCTACCAGACTAACTACGCTGGCTATACATAACATAGGAGAATATTTGCCGGGGGAGTTTGGCCGCCTTGTAGGTTTGACTGGCCGCGCAGGAGGGAAAGAAACTACCTCCCCGCGGCCGGACTCCCTTGGCCAATTTTATTATTTTTTTGCCGAATTCTACGATCCGTATTCCCGTAGAAAGGCCTGGTGGAGGCTACTAGTTCTATGCCTGTATGAGTTAGGGTTAGGGTTAGGTAAGGTTTTAAATAGTCTCCGTGTATCCAAGAGCGTAGATTTGCCGTGGACTATCCAGAACCGTGCCTATCTAGTTATAATGCCTGAATAGGTTAGGGTTAGGATCAGACACGATTCTGGATAGTCTCAGCGAATCCTAGAACGTAGATTTTCCCAAAGTACGGTTCTGAATGTGTGTGAACTATCCAGAACCGTGCCTGAGCATAGATGTAGATTTGCCCTATATACATGTAGGCACGGTACCGTACTGGATACGCGTGGACTTTCCAGAACCGTACAACTGAGCATGGTTCTGGATAAAGCACGGTTCTGGATTCAACACTCACGCCGTTCTATTACTGTACAACAGCAACAAATACTGTATGCCTAGCGATTTCTGCTCCTACTTTCTTGCACACGCTATTGGCATTTTCTTATCTTACATGTTCCCCCGGTAGCTTGGTTTTGTGCACTAAGTTCAGGTCAGTGGGTATACGTGGTCCCTAACCGTAGCGACACGCACCAAAAATTCTCGATCCACAGAACCAACACTCTACTCAGGACCTCAACAAGCTTAACCCAAACTACGGCACCGCTACTTCAGGAGGCTCGGCATGGGGGGATCCCGGTAGCGCTTGACGGTAAATTTAGGAGGGCGAACAAATTAAAGCTTAGCGGTAAATTAAGGCAGACCAGAAACGGCGACTTCTTTGGAATATTCTTCTCTGGATCTTGGACGGTCCATTGTTATGATTTTGGGGCTATCGGAGAATTTTTTAATGATGAAAGACCTTTATTGTACATTCATGCTACGACGGGCTAGGTACAGGTCAAGACTTAACAAACACATAACAAACGTATGTAGAAAAGTGGAGACAAAAGATTTACTACTCACATACATACATAAGGAACGTACAAGGGCACTATACTAGGCTAATACAAAGTGTTCTAGTTACCGAGCTAATACAGGGGGGTCAACTTCTTCTCGCTTTTTTGTACAATGCAAAATGTGGGAACATATTATGTTTGTGATACAGGGTTTGTCTAAACACATATATAAAATAATCCTTATATTAAGTTATAACGATGCATTCATGACGTCAAATGACGTGCTAGGTGGAATTTAAATCCACCAATGACGCTTCACGAACAATTTCCAAACAACGCTGAACGTTAGATTAAAGGTGGTAATTCTGCAATTCAAGCTGAATCAAAAATGCCTTGCTATGGCTCACGGAAAACGACATGCAGACCCTCTTTTACGCCGATGTTACAATACACAGAGAGCGTTAAAGTCCCCCGGTTTAAGTGGGACCACTATTTGAACGACCTGTCAGATTCAAAAGCCAGAAAGATAACGATTGAACCTATTAAAGTGCCTACCCTACGTCAACATTGTTTTCCTATACGCACTTGTAAAAAATGTATGACACAATAACGCAATGTAGTCCACGGTATTTTATGATCTTTTAAAAACGGATAACATTGAAGTTCGTACGAAAAAAATCGTCTGAAATGAGAGTGGATTCCAGAAATGACTCCGAGCGGCTTTCCAAAGCGTTAATATGTACACAGAAGTAGGACAAGCAACCTGTGTTGACAGACAGACACACAAGAAAGAGGGATCGAATAGCGTAAATTGACGTATAAAACCAGAGCTTAATTTTTCTTCTCTAGAAAGAGTTAGACCGACTTGGATGAGATCAAACGGGTTTCGAAGCCACGTTGACAGGGGTGCCAGAGTATACAGTGCAATTTTACGAAATACAGTGCAATTTTACGGAATACAGTGCAATTTTACGGAATACAGTGCTATCGTATTAGTATACAGTTTACTAGTAAAATTGCACTGTATACTAGTAAAAGTGCACTGTATACTAATACGATTGCACTGTATTCCGTAAAATTCCACTGTATACTAATACCATTGTACTGTATTTCGTAAAATTGCAATTTATACTAGTAAAAATGCACTGTATACTAGTACAATTGCACTGTATACTAGTAAAATTGCACTGTACACTAATACGATTGTACTGTATTCCGTAAAATTGCACTGTATGCTAATACCATTGTACTGTATTTCGTAAAATTGCACTGTATACTAGTAAAATTGCACTGTATTTCGTAAAATTGCACTAATACCATTGTACTGTATTTCGTAAAATTGCACTGTATACTAGTAAAATTGCACTGTATTTCGTAAAATTGCACTGTATACTAGTAAAATTGCACTGTATTTCGTAAAATTGCACTAATACCATTCGTAAAATTGCACTGTATACTAGTAAAATTGTACTGTATTCCATAAAATTGCACTGTACAATCCGGCACCCCTGGTTGAGTACCTCACAGGGAATATACAACGCGGGGCACATTCCGAAAATGTCTACGGGGGCCGTTTCAGACGTGTGCCAAGCGACCCTGCTTAGCACCTTTCTAAAGCCGAGAAGACAAGTAGAACCAACACGGGAAGACAGCGGGAAGGCTGGTACAGCAGACAGGGCTGCATTCTACTGCAACGCCGCGGCCACATTCCTCGTAGTAGGCCGTTGTACGATTTTTTTTTTACTTTAGGCCACACCGACTTAATTTTATGGATGACATCCGCGCGCGCATTGATTTTCGCCTGTTCTAAAAAAAAAAAGATCACGTCCTCTGAGACTCTGGCCTGGCTCTAGGCCTGGGTAGTCAATGGTAGCTAGGAACAATACGGAGCCGGGCACCCAGGCTACCGAAGGTCCACGACTCAAGAACACACTACATACGTACAATGCCGATTCATACATTCCGCAAAATGTGCCGGCTATTCGACGCACGTCGCTAGCTTTTGCAAAACAGCTGTGTTTTGTATGACAGACCTATGACAATCTAGCCTAGCACCCAGCCTACTCCGGCTGCAGTAGCTGCTGATTGACTGTATTCAGCTAGGAAGCGATTACTGGAGCCAGAATGAGCCTGATACGAGGCTAACTGAGGACTGTAGAAGGCGTTACACTGGCATACGTTTTCCAAGAGCATCACTACTGTGAGTGACTGTTCTTATGTAAGTGCGCTAAAAATATCTACCAAACCTTTCTTAAAAACACAAACAAGCTGACATAGCTTCCTTCCTACACCGAACGCATTTAACCAATGTAACATAGAAACAAAAGCTCGTAGCACAAAATAGAGGGAATGCTTTTGTGGCAATAAATTGATTGGAAAACGTCATTTTCGATGAAACGATAGATAAGTAAGTAGGCATTCTATTGATAGACGAAGAAATATATTAAACATGTGTTTCTTCCCTCTTAATAGTCTTTACAAACGGAAAAGCAAGAGGATGGTTTCCCATACCAAAAATATCTCCTGTTTTAACACAAACATTGCAAACTAAATCAGATAAAGACAAAACATCCCCAAATTATGTCTGTGTTCATCGACTAAATTCGAGGGGAGTCACCACATGGCCAGGGCCCCCTAACCAAACACTCTGGAATCAACATGTAAAAACAGCACGCAGCTATGGAGTCTTGCCTGAGAGAGTTTACTTAACACTTTGCTAAGGTGCCAGACAAGTAAATGGTTTCTTTTTAAAGGCGTGCAGTAAATTGTTATTAGACTTAGGCCCTCGCAGCTGTCCACATGTCACTGATTTTTAATGGACAACGCTTACGGTGTACAATTCCTCGAACTTTCTATGTGTATAGAAGGCATATCTGACAACAAATAGTACGACGTGATTGAAATTTGAAATGTGGCTCTTTTTTTTCTAGCCCGTTTTACTGTTTCAAGATTTTCCAATTTTGAATTCTGCTACCAACTCTCAATTTGCAATAGGTTCCGGTACCATTATATATATATATCATGATTTTACGGTGTTTTTGTAAGATCATAGTAAAAATGCCAAACTTCTTGTACTGTACGTATGTATGAAAAGCCAGATACGCCAAGATATAATCGACATATAAATGTCTATTTTTATGAAAAGCAACCATTTTTTAAAGGAAAGCAACCACTTTTTATGAAAGGCAATCATTTTTTTAAT